CTTTGGGTTTGTCTGCTCATTTCTTGACTTGGATTTAGTATATGTTGAAGATGTCGAAGCTGGGGAAATTGTTATGATCATTGGTGGCATGACTTCCTCATTTAGTAAGGATATTTTCATTTTTTTTACAACAGGATATTTTCATGTTATGATGGCTTTAATGCTAATTATAGATTTCATAACAATGTAGCTGGGCGTAAATACACATTATATTCCCTTTACCCCCCCCACACACACACACACACCACCACCACCACCACCTAATCGACTTAAACATTCGCATTTGTAATGCTTTCTATATTTCCTTAAACCAAGTAAAAAGGAGTTTTATGTTATACTTCTTTTGGTGCTTCAGGTGCTTGGTCGACAAGAGTGTTTTTATTGCTGGTAGTGGTGCTCCAGAAATAGAGATGTCAATGCAGGTGGCTGCTTGGACAAAGGAGCTTCGAGGGATGGAGAGTTACTGCATCAAGGAGTTTGCTGAGGCACTTGAGGTCATCCCTTACACACTGGCTGAGAATGCTGGGCTCAACCCAATCTCCATTGTCACTGAACTCAGGAATCGTCATGCCAGAGATGAGAAGAACGCTGGCATCAATGTGAGGCAAGGGCAGATCACAAACATCCTGGGCCGCGTTTAGTTCGGCCCCGGATTCGGCGCCGTCGGAATCCGAGGTACTCTGTAAAGACACTGTTGCGCACTGTAGCGTTTTGTTTTTATTTGATAATAATTGTCTCATCGTTGACTAATTAGACTCAAAACGTTCGTCTCGCAAAGTACAACCAAATTGTACAATTAGTTTTTGATTTCGTCAATATTTAGTACTCTATACATGTACCGCAAATTTGATGTGACAGAGAATCTTCTTTTTGCATAGTGCCAAAATCTGTAAAATGAAGGAACTAAATAAGGCCCTGGAGGAGAATGTCGTGCAGCCTTTGCTGGTGAGCACAAGTGCCATTATACTAGCCTGCGAATGTGTCAGAATGATATTAAAGATTGATGACATTGTCACTGTTAGGTAAGAGCGTGAAGTCGGTGGTCATGTCAGCCTGCTCTGTTCTGTCTGGATTGATATTACTTAGGTTACTACTTAGGGTCTGTTTGGTAGAGTTTTTCATCGTTCCATATGCTAGCTGAAGGTCTATTGAATCTGGGCATGGATGATTATCTTATTAGTGCTATTGAACTAATTATAGAAAAGGCCAAATTCAGGGAATCTGATGTTTCTGTGATAAGAGGATATCTCAAGATCTGCAAATATTATGATGCATTAGAAACTTTTGGTCATCTCCTAGAGATAAACCCGTTGATGCAGCATGCCTGAGAATGTATCATGGAAATGACTGAGTATATGAAAATTTTTCTGGTGGTTTGATTAGCCTAAACTTTTGAAGCAGTGGTGCCTGAGAATGTATCATGGAAATGACTGAGTAGATGAAACAATTTCTGGTTGTTTGATTGGCCTAAACCTTTGAAGCAGTGGTGTAATAGATGTCTATCCCATTGCTCTGTAGGACTGAACTCAGAAGAATATGGGATGCTCTCTTGCTTCTGGAGAGCTGCTTGCCTTCATGTCCGTTGTGAACCCCCCTGTATTTTTTGGGTAGCTAATGATCACAATATTCTTGCTGCTCTTTGAAATGATGCTTCGTTTATCATTACTTCTCTTTTAATAATTAGGGAAACTTTTCAGGATTTTTGTTTTTCACATCCAGAAATTTTAGGGGTAAAATAGAATTTAGCAATCACACAATGTGTTATTCATAAACTTTTATGAGTGACTTCATATTAAGCATTTTAAGGTGGTTGATAAGACTACCTTACATCCTAGTAGATTCCTCGTAAAAAGAAAATGTCTACTAGGTAGAATGATACTGATAACATATATACCTGTATATTCAACATTGAGGGCATCATAATGGTAGCTTGCTACTTTAACTCTGGTAACCATGTTTTATATTTAAATGACTTTAATGTGAAAATGTTTGATCTCAGATATTAGAGGTGGGGAGCTGACTCTCTTTACTAGACGTTAATCATTGTTTGAAAATACATTAATTAATTCTAAAAAAATACATTAATTAATGTATGCCGTCTTCGACTCAGCGGCTCCAGCTCCTCAACGCTTGCAGTGTTTATGGCAATGTTCGTCAGAAGTCCTTTTTTTCTTCTTCTCTAAATACACTGGGGTGGTAAATCCATTTTTTTTCTTTCGGAAAGGCTAGCGTCCAGATGCCCCCGCGTGCGCCTGCTTCACACTCCGGGTCCTGCGCTCACACCGTGGTCCGCGCCGCTTCGTGTCCTGCGCCTGCCACTCGCGCCCCTCCACACCCATGCCCCTTGATGCGTCGAGGGACGGGGCCCAGCAGCTACAGCAGGCGGATGCTGCAGATGGGGTCCACTGCAACATGTGGAACACCAGATCTACTTTTGTAACATATAGATGACACATTTGCAACGTACATCCGAAACAGTTAAAATACTTGCAACATACGTCTGAAACACATATTGAAAACATATGCAACATCTGGATGAAACACTTGCAACGTAAGTGTGAAACAACATAAGTGTGAAACATATGCAACACCCAGATAAAACATGTGCAACATCCGTCTGAAATAGCTAGTCATTGCAACATATGCAACATCCACATAAAACACTTGCAACATACATATGAAACACCTGAAACACTTGAAACATATGCTTGCAACATCCAAGGAAGGAAGGGAGTGCGAGGTACAGTCGGAGAAGCTCGCTCCGGATCTTGTGATGTCGCGAGGTGAGGTTGAGCGTCATGGTGGTGCCGAAAGCCCCTACCTAGCGCGTTATCGAGGTCCGTCGAGTTCTCGATCGCGAAGTCGCCGAAAGCCCCTACCTAGCGCGCAACTGTCGTTGTTTGATGACCGGCAACTTATCACGGGTTACCTGGGACAATGTTAGAAGGGCTTCGGCGTACGCAGAACTCGACAGTAAACGCAAAGAGACGAACGATTTATATTGGTTCGGGCTCTCTTGTTGAGTAATAGCCTTTACGTCCAGTCGACATGTAGCCTTTTGTGTTGGATTGATGGGTATGACTATGTGTCATGGCCTATCGATCTAGGGAGCCCTGACCTCCTTTATATAGCCCAGGAGGTAATAAGTCTCCTAGTCGGTTACAATGTAAAAGTCATAGTAGGATTATATGGTAGCAATGTTACTAAAATTATATGTGGAGAATTTCTAGTCAGACTAGATCTTCTCTCTTCCTTGCAAGGTACCTGGGGACTATGTCCCACAGCAGCACCTTAACGAGTCGAGGGACAGGCCACGACGCGCAGGGGCGGGGACCGAGCACGACGCGACGAGGCGGAGTGGGCATGGCGGCAGACGTGGCATGGCTCGACGCGGGATGGGGGCGCTGCCGCGAGGCGGCTTGGGGCGGGCGGACGGCGCGGTGAGCCGTGAAGAACGAAGCGAGGAGTTGGGGATTTCTGTTGGCTGCTGCAGTATAGATAGAGTAGATAGAGGAGAGAGCGTAGATGGCCTGTTGGGTCGGTCACTGTGCTGGAGCGAACGCGAAGCAGAGTGTCTGATTTTTTTAAGATTCCGGACGTATAGTTGTAAGGATTACAATTTTTTCCTTCCTCGTACTCCTTGGCTACTGTAAAATAGAGACGGAGTGGTCATGCTCGTCGGCTATTGTAGCAGAGAGCCGAAGTCATGAAGAGCAAGTCCAAACAGGTCCTAAAAATCACCCACATGATTAATGGCATCATGGCTCATTTAGCAGAGGCACACACTGTAAGCTACATAATTTTCTTCTTCTGGAGCTTGCCAGATGCACGCGAGACTCGAAGTTTTTTTCTTCCTTCTGTTGGTGTACTTTTTTTCTCTCTCCCCTTGCTATGTTATGTCGAGAAAATCGAGGCTTTTTAACAAAATTGTGCCATTTTTTCTTGGAAAAAAATGCTTTTACCTCTTTGAATTATTGTCATAGCTCAGGTTTCCTCCCTAATGAAAGCCAAGTATTGTGGGTCCCTAAATATGTAAAACCATTTGTTGGACCACCTTGACTTGAATCCATACTGTTTTTAGCTGATGTGGCTGCCGTTTTGACTAGTCAACACAAGACATAGCAAATAGTCAGACACCTTAAAAAAAGTAAAAAATAGCTAGACACCTTAGGAGTTCTAAACGACTTTAGATAAAAATATTATCAAATACAAAGTTGATAACATATTGAGAGCTTCAATTTTAGTGTAGATCAGGTCAATGTCTAAGGTATTTGAAAAATTCATAAAAAAATGAATTTTAAAATTAGAGAACTTAAAACAAATACTTGTGCCTCTAAATGATCTCAAATAAACAAGTTGTTAATTAGAAAGTTGATGATCTTATGAACTACAACTTTGGTATAGATTATTTCAACATTTGAGGTTATTTGAAAAAATAAAAAAATAGAATTTTAAAATAAATTAACTTAAACAAATATTTGAGCCTCTAAAATAAATTAAATAAAATAAGTAATCAAATACAAAGTTATAGGTCGTGTTGAGCTCTGCATCTTTGATATAAAGTTTGTATTCATATGACTTAATATGAAAAAGTATGTGTATTTTGTACAAGAGAAAAAGAGAAGGATCAGATGATAGGTCAACAAAACCACCTAACAAATCACTTTGAAATAGAAGAGGACTATTTGTCTGATTTTAAAATTTAAGATGTCTATACGATATTAAGTTCGAGGGAGTCTTTCAAATTCAGTAATTAGTTTGGGTTAATCGGACTTCTATTTTAGCCAATGAACTTTTTCCTTTCATCTTAGTTTTTTTTTGAGCATTCATCATTGAATATTGAACCAAGTAAGCGGTCCAGGTACTTGTTTCTTAGCTAGGATTCAGCCCATTAGTAGCCCATTAGTGAGTTTTCTGTCTTCTCTTCCACCTTTTTGTCCGTTGCCTCAGCGCAAGTCTACACCCGCCGGTCTCCTGCCCCCCAGATCTGCCCATCCGCCATGGCGCCTCCACCGCACCGCCACCTGCTGCTGCTGCTGCTCCTCCCCCTCGTCCTCCTCGCAGGCGCACCCGCCGGAGCCGATGACCTTGTCTCGGAGCTCCAGTCCCTCCGCGCGCGGTCCCCGTCCGGCGTGATCCACCTCACCGATAGCGCTGTCACCCGTTTCCTCTCCGCCCCCTCCGCGCGCCGCCCCTACTCCGTGCTCGTCTTCTTCGACGCCGCTTCGCTCCACTCAAAGCCCGACCTCCACCTGCCCCAGCTCCGCACCGAGTTCGCGCTGCTCTCCGCCTCCTTCCTCGCCCACAACCCCAATTCCGGCGACCTCTTCTTCGCCGACATCGAGTTCGCCGAGTCGCAGCACTCCTTCCACCAGTTCGGCGTCAACTCGCTGCCCCATGTCCGCCTCATCCGCCCCGAGCACGCCATCCTGTCGGGATCCGAGCAGATGGACCAGTCCCACTTCGCGCGCCTCGCCGACTCCATGGCTGAGTTTATCGAGTCCCGCACGGGCCTCGAGGTTGGGCCCATCGTACGCCCGCCGCTCCTCTCCCACAACCATATCATCCTGCTTGGCATCCTCTTCCTCATCTCCATCCCCTTCATGATCAAGAGGATCATCGATGGGGAGACCCTGCTGCATGACCGCCGTGTCTGGATGGCTGGGGCGCTCTTCGTCTACTTCTTCAGTGTCTCTGGGGGCATGTACGGGATTATCAGGCACACGCCCATGTTCCTCACCGACCGCGCGGATCCCAACAAGCTCGTGTTCTTCTACCAGGGGTCAGGGATGCAGCTGGGGGCTGAGGGGTTTGCTGTCGGGTTCTTGTACACACTAGTCGGTCTCATGATCGCTGGGGTGACACACTTGTTGGTGAAGGTGGAGAGCCTGCAGACGCAGCGCTTTGCGATGCTCGCTGTCATGGCGATCGGGTGGTGGGCTGTTAGGAAGGTGATCTACTTGGATAACTGGAAGACTGGCTATAGCATTCATACTTTCTTCCCAAGCAGCTGGAGGTGAAATTCTTACCTGAGTGGGATGGATGCTTCTTCCCTTTGGTTTCAGAGGTATGGAATAACATCCCACCTTTTTCCAATTCTGTAGTTGGCGTATTGGTTGCGATTGTTGTGTTAACATCGGGGTGACCCTGAGTATAAATGATTTTGTCTTAGGTTCATAATTGAGTAATTCATACATGTGTTTTAAGCAAAAGATGTACTGGCTTGAAAATCCAAAAACAACCTTGGGTTGATGATAATCCAGCATTGAGATAAATGGTGTGGAGCATCTCTATATGAAACTGATTTCTGTATCTCCAATTACTTGAAGTAATTTGCTTGGCAGTTAGCATGCATTGTTAAAAAATAATTGTAGTATCCGGTACACTATTGACCAAAAAAAAATTATTTGATGATGCATTGATATCCAGTGAATTTTTTTAGCAGTGTGTTTTCTTGTGTTTCCAGGGTTAGGTTCCTGTCCTAGCAAACTGGACAGAGAACTGATTTTAGAATTGGATTCCGTTCCTTACCCTTGATTTGAGCTCTCCATTTCTTTCTGTTCTCTCATTCCATCTTTAAAAATAATATGCATTAGCATGTGTACATGCTATGCCCTACAATGCTTTGTTTTTGAGAATTCTGTTACTTTGTAGTATCTTTCTTGTGCTTGTGGCTGTATCCTTGTGGAGACATGTGTGCGATCATGCGTATGGGTAGTTGTAGCATCTTTCTTAGATGCTCATAGTTGTATGTCAATTGTGTTTATTTGGGATCAGTACTGTATTCCTTAGAAGAGGCTGTTTGCCCCATGCTCTCCAAGGCTCAGTTCTACTAATATGGCATGCAATATTTGTTTTGCCTGAACAAACAATGTTATTGTTACATCAAAGTTCTTTTAGGGCTCGTTCGGCAGTGGCCGGACCAGGTTTCGATCCTGGCCACAATACTCCAGTTCTCAATACAGGCGGCTCCGTTCCACCCGGAACGACGCCCCGGAACGGCCCGTTCCGAAATAAACGAACGGGGCCTTAAAGATTTGGGATGCGCGATGAGGATGTCAAAACTCAAGGAGTTTGAAAGATTCTTTTATCAAGAGGATGCAGTGTGCATATAAAGATTCAGATGTGCTACTTTTGGTCACATGCCTCAACTGAAGCCTTTTAACGCCAAGCATACAGTGCTATTTGTCTGTAGCAGGATAGTAATTATGAGATACACTAAAAGGTTATATTTTCATAATTCAAAGATAGTTAAACACAATGTTTTTTTAGGCGCTAGGTGGTTTCTAGGCGGTGACCCATCGCCTAGCGCCTAGGCGCGCCTAGGCAGGCCTAGGCGTTTTCTAGGCGTTTTGACATTTTTTTGTATCTCAGCATATATAGCTAAATAAATTATATAAATATAGTAGCCGAGTGAATTTTATAAAAAGAGAAAAGGTCCAATAGACATACCTTAGTTGATAGAAAAGCGATGTTCATGCGTAGTTCATAGTTGATAGTTGATACAATACAAATGTGATGTCCTGCAGCAATACAAGTGGAGAACAGACCATATCAGTAGTTAAATATAAATGGACAGCAGACCATATGAACAATACAAGTTATACAAAAATAGGAAAGAGCAGGTTAGGTACTTATCTCAATGATCTTAGCCCTTTCCTATCCATCAGACATTATCAGCAGCAAATGATAGCCATTTGAAACCACAAACATGTAGGGATAACAGTAGCAGCAAAGAAAATTAATCTTGTATACATTGTTAATCTTGTATACATGTAGAGGGAAAACAGGGGGAAAAAAGGAAGGAAGATAACTTGTACTCCTAAGATTGATAACCAGGTCATGGTAGCACACCAAGTTTAGCTAAACACTCTCGTCATTTATACAGAATATACAAGTAAAACAACATCAGTGCTCTAGTTTATGAAAAAACTTGGCTGTGTTGAAGCAATAGCTCAGTTGGTAGAGCCTCAAGCTGAGACTTGAGCGGACGCCCAACAGGGCTGCAACCCAGTTAACTACTAGTACTACGAGCACAGCAGTACAGCACAGCCGAGCAGAGGAGAGAGGAGCAGGGGGCGGGCGGACCTCACGTCCTCACCTTACCTTGGGGTTCCCGAGCGGCGGGACCAGGGGTAGCGAGAAGGTCACCACCGGTGGCGGCCCGGCGAGGAGGGGCCGCACGGGAGCTCCAGGGGCGGCGGCGGGCCGGCGGACGGGGCGGATGGCCGGCGGCCGGCGGGGAGGCCTGCACGGACGGAGAAGATGGCCGGCGAGCGAGCTCAGGTCGGAGGCAAGGGGGCAGAGGCAAGGGGCCGGCGAGCGAGCTCGGGTCTTGACTCTCTCACTGTGTGTATCTCTCTCTCTAATCCTCTCTACCACCCGTGCTCTTTTCTTCCCGCGCGGGCGCTTCCTTTCCCGCGCACCCGGCTTCTCGTGCGCGCGCTCCCGCCTGCTCCCGCCCGCCAAAACGCGCGCGCGCTCCCGCCGCCTAGGCGCCGCCTCCTCCGCCTACTCGCCACCCAGGCGCCGCGGTACTCCGCGGAGGCGCGCCCAACGCCTAGAGGTGCGCCTCACCCCGTAGGCCCCGCGGGAAGGCTCCGCCTTGCGCCTTTGCGCGCCTAGGCGAGCGCGGAAACGCGCCTTGTCATTCATTGGTTAAACATTTGTTTTCTTAATATTCAGGGAAAAAAGATAACATATTTGGATTACGTTAACCAGGATATGAACCCTATTTCTGCACAGTTTCAACTATTATGGCTTGGCAATTTCATTCAGTGTCATAGTGGTGGCATCTGGGTTGGGACTTGGGACACGGTCCAATCTGGTGCTCAATGATTGGCTGTTCCATATTGATACCGCTTGCGGACCTCTTGTGAGGCTTCAGTGACATTTACTTATTATAAAATTGAGCTTATGACAACAACAACAAAGCCTTTAAGTCACAAACAAGTTGGGGTAGGCTAGAGTTGAAACCCACCAGAAGCATTCAAGGTTCAGGCACGTGAATAGCTGTTTTTCAAGCACTCCTATCTAAGGCTAAGTCTTTGGTTATATTCCATCCTTTCAAGTCTCCTTTTATTGCCTCTACCCAAGTCAACTTTTCGGTCTTCCTCTGCCTCTCTTCACGTTATTATCCTAGCTTAGACTGTCTCCAACAGACCCAACCCAAACACAAGACGCATTCGCCGGTTTGCGTTGCGCACAGTAAAAGGGTCCGTGACCCATAACCTCCCTTCTCCAACAGCAGACGCAACAGAGCGTCCTCTTCCCTTCCTCCTCTCGCGAGCCCCGCCGCCTCTTCCCTTCCTCCTCTCGCACACAAGCACGTCCCCTTCGTCACCGATGGCGGCGGCGCGGCCCCCGATGGGGACCGAGGACGCCATGGCTGCGCCATCTCCCAGCGACGATGGGAGCGCCTCCCTCCCCGCCAAGCCGCCGAGCAGATCCCGCCTCCCTCCCCGCCGAGCCGCCGAGCGCCGAGGTCGCCGGCGACTCCGTTCGCAGGCCCGCCTGGCCAAGCGCCCCCGTCCGCGGTGCCGCCTGGCCGAGCGCCCCCGTCTGCGGGCCTGCCGGCGCCGCGTTCCCGCCTCGCCGTTGTCGTCCGCGGGCTGCTCTGACCTCCTCCCTCCGTTCCGGCCGGCCTCCTCGACTCGCTCCTCTCCTCCCTCCGCTCCGACCTCCAGGTGGAGGTGGGAATCAGCGCCACGCGCCCGGGCGGATGGCTGGCGGGAGTGGGAGTGGGGGTGGGAGAAGAGGAGGGAGAGGAGAGGTAACAGGACCCCGGCGCCGACCGCTTCACCCAGATTTGCGTCGCGGAGAGAGGCGACGCGTTTTTGCGTTCTGGTTCATCCGCTACGCAAAATGGGTGTCCTGTATGCGTCTTCTGTTGGAGCGCGTTTCTTTCAGCTAAAACACTACGGAGGACGCATTTTGCGTTTGCGTCGCTGTTTGCCAACTCTGTTGGAGACAGTCTTAGGATTCCACTACGCACCGGTGTCTCTGGAGGTCTCCGTTGGACATGTCCAAACCATCTCAACCGGTGTTTGCCCTAGTGATGGATGAGGTCACAAGGGACATACAAGGGGACATCCCTTGGTGTATGCTTTTCACGGACGATGTAGTGCTAGTTGATGAAAGTCGGACAGGAGTGAATCAGAAACTGGAGTTATGGCGGGAGACTTTGGAGTCCAAAGGTTTTAGACTCAGTAGAACTAAAACTGAGTATATGAGATGTGACTTCGGCACTACTACTCGGGAGGAGGAAGATATTAGTTTGGAAGGTCAAGTAGTGCCTAGGAAGGATACCTTTCGATATTTAGGATCAATGCTACAGAGAGATGGGGATATTGATGAAGATGTTAGCCATATAATCAAAGCAGGGTGGATGAAGTGGCGCCAAACATCTGGTGTCCATGTGACAAAAGGGTACCACAGAAGTTAAAAGGCAAGTTTTATAGGATGACGATTAGACCTGCTATGTTGTGTGGTGCAGAATGTTGGTCTACGAAAAGACGACATGTTCAACAGATAAGTGTCGCGGAAAAGCGTATGTTGCGTTGGATTTGCGGTCATACAAGAAGGGGTCGAGTTCGGAACGATGATATACGTGATAGATTAGGGGTAACACCAATTGAAGAAAAGCTTGTCCAACATCGGTTGAGATCGTTTGGACATGTCCAACGGAGACCTCCAGAGGCACCGGTGCGTAGTGGAATCCTAAGCCAGGATAGTAACGTGAAGAGAGGCAGAGGAAGACCGAAGTTGACTTGGGTAGAGTCAATAAAAGGAGACTTGAAAGGAAGGAATATACCCAAAGACTTAGCCTTAGATATGAGTGCTTGGAAAACAGCTATTCACGTGCCTGAACCTTGATTGCTTCTGCTGGGTTTTAACTCTAGCCTACCCCAACTTGTTTGGGACTTAAATGCTTTGTTGTTGTTTAACTAATCCATATGGGCAAATGCATCACAAGTTTAAAAAGGAGAGAAAAAAGAACAGGAGAGGGAATGAAGAAAGA